CTAAGCAACAGCTCTGCATAAAAAGACTTAGGGATTACAGGGGACAATAAGCTGAATATGAGTCAACAGTATTCCCTTGTTGTTAAGGAGGTAAACTGCATCCTGGACTACATTAGTAGGAGCGTTACCAGCAGATTGAGGGAAGTGATTATCTCCCTCTATGGCTAGGGACAGGCATTCAAAAAGCCTGAGCCTGACTTGATTCAACTTTTCCAGGTTAGTTTAACCTGCCTAGGCTGAACCACAGTTTCATAGTAGATAGGGTCAGAAGGGACCTGAGCAGATCATCAAGTCCGACCCCCTGCCATGGCAGGAAAAAGTACTGGGGTCAAACGACCCCGGCAAGGTGTTCATCTAGCCTCCTCTTAAAGACCCCCAGGGTAGGAGCCAGCACCATTTCACTTGGAAGTTGGTTCCAGGTCCTAGCCGCCCTGACAGTGAAGTAGCACCTCCTGATGTCTAGTCCGAATCTACCCTCTGCCAGCTTGTGACCGTTATTTCTAGTCACTCCTGGTAGTGCTCGGGGGACCAGGGTCTCCCCCAATGCCTGCTGGTCCCCTCTGACTAGTTTGTAACAGGCCACTAGATCCCCCCTCAGCCTTCTCTTGTGGAGGCTGAACAGGCTCAGGTCCCTTAGCCTCTCCTCGTAAGGCCTGCCCTGCTGCCCCCTGATCATGCGAGTGGCCCTCCTCTGGACCCTCTCCATGTTGTCCACATCCCTCCTGAAGTGCAGCATCCAGAACTGGACACAGTACTCCAACTGCAGCCTGAGCAATGTCGCATAGAGGGGGAGGATCACCTCCTTGGACCTGCCTGAGATGCATCTGTGGATGCATGACAAGGTATGGTTGGCCTTCCTGACCATGTTCCCACACTGTTGGCCCATGTTCATTTTGGCATCAATAATGACTCCAAGATCCTTTTCTGCCTCTGCACTGACGAGAAGGGAGTTCTCCCCAGCCTGTAGGTATGCTGCCGGTTCTTCCCCCACAGGTGCAGCACCTTGCACTTGTGTTGAAACCCATCCTGTTCTCATTCGCCCACCCCTGCAACCTGTCTAGGTCCAACTGCAGCCTATTCCTCCCTTCTAGCATGCCCACTTCTCCCCACATCTTAGCGTCGTCCGCAAATTTGAACAGGGTGCTTTTTACCCCCTCGTCCACGTCGCTGGGACAGACATTGCTTAAACTGGTTTGAGCCAAATCAGTTATGTATGATACTACATTTAACCAGCTTCATCTCAAATCAGTTTCAGCCATTTTCAAACTGGCTTATGTGCGCTGAACATCTGTTCTGTTGCAGGTTTCAACCAGTTTCTGATCACTTAAACCAGTTTATGTGTAATGTCTGTCTCTAGCCTATTAGGCACTGGTGAAGCCACATCTGAAGTACTGTGTCCAGTTTTCAGCCCCCCACTATGGAAAGGATGAAGACAAATTGGAGAGAGTCCAGCAGAGGGCAACAAAAGAAGATGGAGAAAGACCAGTGGTTTTCAACCTTTGGTCCATGGATCCCTAGGGGTCTGCAGACTATGTCTAAGTGGTCTACAAAAGAGGACTATGATCAATCAAAAGTATTGATGATTATGATCTATCAAATGCTTACAATCAAAGGGATCTGCACCTCCATTCAAAATGGTTTAGGGGTCTGCAAATGAAAAAATGTTAAAGAGCACTGAACTATACTGTTCTCAGTGGTGGCAGATAACAGAACAAGGAGCAATGGTCTTAGTTTTGCAGTAAGGAAAGTTTAGATAAGATATTAGTGTCACAACCCAAAGTTATGGATTTTTTAATTGTGCGTGCTTCGGCACCGCTAAATTATGTTCCCGCCGAATTGGAGCTCTTTTGCACGATGGAGTGTTCTGTTGTTATGGAGAACCTGCGTGCAGAAAAGTGTTTCCCGCTGTTCTGTAGCCTTCTTTGCATTGTGCATTACTCTTGCATTTAGTGATGCATGCTGCAAAGGAGTTTTCCCGCCATTTGTATTAAGATTTGAGCCACATTATTGGCCGGTCTTAATTTAAAACCCCGGGGCCCCCCCTCCCCACCTGTCTTTAGCCTCTCCCCGTCACCGATCGCAGCCCAGACGAATCCCTACCCTAGAACCCAGTTATCGACACCATGGAGTCTGAACCACTCCAAGGATCCTGGGAACCGAGTTTTAGAGTCCTCCAACGAGGAAGGAAGCGGAGCTGTACCTGGGAAGCTGTCCAGCCTACACCGCGACCATCTCCGGTGTAAGTAAATAATCTTTTCAATCAACCATTACGCCTCCGTGACTGATTCTAGCTCGAGCGTACTACTCCACCCCGTGACTCTTCTCCGGCCCCGCGTGCCCGGGCTGCCGGCCACAGCCCGCATGCACACAGACGGGCCCGGCTCACGCCCAGCGAGGACGGGACCGGGAGCCGGCCCGCACAATTAGGAAAAGCTTTCTAACTAGGAGGGTAATAAAGCACTGGAGCAGGCTATCCAGAGAGGTTGTGGAATCTCCATCTTTGAAGTTTTTAAGACCTTAGTAGACAAAGCCTTTGCAAGGAAAATATAGTTGGGAACTGTTCTGCTTTGAGCAAGGGGTTGGACTACATGACCTTCTGAAATCACTTCCAACCCTAATTTGCTATGATTCTATGATTTTAGTACTGAAATAATATGAAAAGTCAAATCTTCTGATTTTCATGCAGTAAATTTCATCAGGACCAAAACATTCCCACAAAATGTTGTGAACCTTCATTTTTAAACATAAAACTGCTGCTAAGTTTTTGTTTTCCTGGAAAATAGATGGATCTAGAAAATACTGTCATCTCCAGCCCCTACATCTACTGCCTGGTTTTTGTAGCACATGCTAGTTGCTAATTTATCTCAAGAAATCCATGATGGTGAAAACTATTCAGAGAACACCAAATACCACCCCAGGTTGTGGTCCAAAGGTATAACATTTGGAGGATTTTTTTTTCTTTTATTGCATCTTTACATTTAATTCCATCCCAGGATATATGTGTATATGTTGAAATGTCATATTTTCAAACCAGGCTTCACAGCTTTCAGAGTGGAATAAATATTTCAAGTTTTGGATGCCCACCTGAACTGAATCTACAAACTTTTGAGATTCATCCATCAGGCTTAACAATGGTTCAACCTATGTTGTGGCAAGCAGGACCTACTTTCCACATTGCTAGATTCCTGAATTTTGGTGTACCCTGATGTGACCTTCTAATTTTGGAAGAGTTTAATTCAAAATTTTGAAGTGGAGTTTTCAAACTAATTAAATATTAATCAGTTCTATTATCTATGATGATACTATATTACACACATTTTCTATTTTTTTATTCTTCATATAAGCTCAAGCTTTTAGATCTACAATATATAATAGAAGTTTTCAAGAAGGAAGAAGGAAACTGGAGATTTGAGCAGATAGGAAGTAAAATAACTGGGGCTTTGAGAATGTGGGTATGTGTAGGATGCCTTATGCAAGAGGCATAAAATTTATGTTTCTGCTAAAATTATCAGTGGTGAAAGAGTTAGTAGTGTTGGCATTTAAAATGTAAGCTTTTGTTTTTAAAACCATTGAGATGAATGGAACAGTTCACACATGCCAAAATAAGTATTTCTGACTCAATTTACAAGACAATCTGGCATTAATTTATTTACATTCAATTGCAAGATTATAGTTATGACCACAGGAAAAAGATATACATATACTTTGAGAAATATAAGTTCAGACTTCAATGCCCAATTTCATTGAATGCACCACTGGATTTGAAGTTCAAGTCACACTACTACATACTGTGGTAGAAGAAGATTTGCTAAGCATGAAAATACACATTGCCAAAGGTAGTACACTTCCCTTTGTTACTACTTGGGGTTTCTAGTACAAAAGAAATCTAGACTTGTCAACAGTATGCAATATATTTCTTTCAGTCCATGTAAACTTCACATATAGCCACTTAGCCATATAACATAACACAGCATATAAAACATTTTAAAACTATTTATGTATATCATGACAACATTGCTTTTAAGATAATCATTTTCCAAATGGCAAACTAAACATTAATGGAATTTAAATGCATCAGTCTCTTCTTAGCTGTTCATCTAATAACATTTTATATTTTGGACTTATGTTGTATCTGCCTTATAGAACACAAAGTACGTTAAAAATTATGCAGCAACCTTTATCACTTTACAAATGAGAATAATGAGGCATAAAGATTGCCATCAGGTACTCAAACAGTCTGGAACAGAACCTGAATCTCCTGCCCATTCTCAAATGCTTTAGCTTCTAGACAAACCAGGTTTCTCAGCTTCATCAAAATGTGTCTTGTTCACTTTAAAAAAATACTCTTTATGGTTTTTGCAGAGATAACCAATACTGCTTTATCAGAGATCAAGGTAATAAAAGCATTATATGTTTGTCAAAAAAGTTCACTCAGAGGCATTTTGAGCTGCTCCTGATCACACCTAAGCGGGCTACTATGCTTAACTGCCAGGCTCTGGGGATGCCCAAACAGGAGTGGGAGGAACTTAGGTCAGCAGCAGCCCCATGACTTGGAAGGAGGACAAGTAATCTTAGCCTGATTGCCAGCAGCAAAAACATGTATACAAAGAACAACTGATACTGCATAAACAAAGCATTAAAATCTCTGTTTTGCATTTTATAAGAACAGGTTACAATTTATCACTCAATTTTTGCCTCTGACTGAGTTTGTGGTACAAAATATAGGGTAGAAAATAACATGATTCTGACACAAATGCAAAATTACTCGTTATGCTTCAGAAGATAAATTTCAGTGCATGTTTCAAAAAGCAAGTTGAATTCTGGTTGTTAATGATACTTGAAACCAGATGTGGTTTATGTTTTGTTGAGAACATTTCATGCAGCTCTACTTAGCAATCCAAAAACAAGAATTTGCATTCAAACAACCTGTCTACAAAAATAAAAATACTTCCTTGTGTTACTAATTGTACGGAAACTTATTTTTCTTCAAAATCAATTACCTTATATCCAGGTCCTAACTGATGTATTGCAAAGATCTGTGCTGGGTTGAGTGCTTCAGTGAATACATATACTGCTCCAAGTTGACCACAAAACACTCTATTTGCATCAGCTGTCTCTGAAGATCCAAGAAAACATTTATCATAGCTCTGTATTAAAGAAAAAAATAATTAATTTAAACTATATACGTGTATATATACATGCACACAAACAAAAAGAACAAATGCTTACATATAACTTATTGCTAAAAAGAGAGGTTTAGAAGAAAAAAACGATTATTTAAATTATAACTGCAAAAGCTATTATTTTTTTCAAATAAAACATGAGTTTATCATTGAATAAAGTAACATAAACATCTTTCATTTATTATTACAAGTTTATTTTCATTGTCACTGATTGCTATGATTCATTTTTAGTCATACGTCATACAGTAATGAACATTAAAACAAAATTGCCAAGTTACAAAATTACCAAATTACCTAAAAAGGCTCGACTCTTCAGCTTAGAAAGAAGAAGGCTGGGGGCGGGATATGACAGAGGTCTATAAAGTTATGAAGGGTTTGGACGAAGTGGACAGGAAACAGTTGCACACCAGCTTCCAGGATACTAGAACTGGGGGGCACCTGCTGAAATTAGCAGGTGATAGGTTTAAAACAAACAAGAATGTAGGTTTTTTATACAACACTTAGCTTGTGGAATTCACTGCCACAGGAGGTGGTGGAGGCAGACAGCACATCCAGGTTCAAAAATGGACTGGATAAGTACATGGAAAATAGATCTATTAATGGCTATTCAACAGAATAGTTGAAGAAGTTCCCCCTGGCACCTCTAAACCAAAAATGATGGATGCCAGAGAAGATACTGAATAAGGGATGTAGATCACTAGAGATATCCAGTTCAGTGCTCTCCCTGTATAGTATCCACTTCTGCCACTGTTGGTGACAGGATACTGGGCTGGATGATCCACTGGTCTGACCCAGTATGGCACTTCTTATGTTCAAGTATCAGAATTCCAGCTTTTGCACCTAGAATATATGAAAGACCACAAAATTTGCTTTCTCTAGCTCCATAATTCCAGCCACGTATTGAGATATAACTACAAACTGACATTCAGCTCCTTCGTCCTTACATATTTTCATTTCTGCATTAACATTGAGGTCTTACCGTGTTGAAATGTTCTCTCAGTCTTGTGCTCTGTTTGGACCTTCTAAATCTTTGCTGTCAATGACTGCCACCTTCAGAACTCTCTACCATAAGCTCTCAAAAACTGTGGCAAACATCTTCCAGCCTTTACCCCCACATACAACCATAAAGTCACTCTCTTTTCAGAATTTCCCACCTGCTGCTGCTTTTGGTTCCATAAACTTAATCCATCAATTTCTCCCACTAAGATTAATTTTCTTTAAAATTAAACAGTATTTCACATCCCAAATTGAGATGGAGGTACAGAAGTTGTGGCAGCCATTTTGGCCATCTCAAAACCCTATCTTCCACTGCCTTGTGGGTACTTTGTAGTTGGACAAAGACTAAGGGACCTCACCCTGACAGAAATGTGCCATCGCTGAGGCATTAGGCAGTCAGCAGCAGCTCTAATCTGTTGCTCTCTGGTAGAAGCTACAATAATTGAGGCACTAAGCATCTGGACTCGGCCTGGTCTTTGAACTCTTTCTCAAGGGTCTAAAGGGGGGCTAATAAGTCTAGGGTAGCCTCCATCCTCTTGCCTAAGTGTACACATTGAAGTCCTTGGTGTGACGGTCACATAGATCTCTTGTGCACACCATGATCCAGGGGACCAATGGTTGCCAAGAAATAAAGCTGAATAGAGTCAACCAATCAGATGAAGCTGCTCACTTCCATGTATATAACTCCCGCATTCTGAGGGAAAGTGCCAATACAATATCTGGCTCTATTCCCTCAAAACTCCCCATCCATGTAGCCAAAATGGCTGCCACAACTTCTGAAACCCCATTTCGACTCGTGTGTGTGTGCACAGAAAGACATAAATGCACACACACGCATACTGTAGTATGAATTTTTGCATATTAGTTATTATGCTTAAATGACAATCGGATTGAATTGATCAACCTCTACAATTGTATGAACAACTAAAACTCCATTTTATGCTTGTTCCCTCTTTGACATGAGTAGATGAACTTCATATGTCCTGTGTATGCGAGTGTCTGTGTGAGAGGGTGACTGGTGAAAGAATGGTAACTACTTGCATGAAAACACAAGATTTAATTGATTGTGTAAGCAACAAGGCGCCAATGTATAAGTTATCAGACAGTAAACTAATTAATGGATGGCTGAAGAACTCATCTGTGATCAGGTGCAAAGAAGAAGGAATTGTGCATATCCTGCCATTTGAACTACACAATGCTTCAAGACCAACTATACAATGCTTCAAGGCAAAGAACAAGATACCAATGGAGATACCAGCTTTACCGGAATGACCTCAAGTTGAGATAACCAGAAGAAACAATCTCTAATTAAAGACTGAGCGTGGAAAAACCCCAATGCTGAACAAAGATTTGAAATCCCTATAGAAGTGAGACTCAGACAAGCCAAGATGGGGAATCCACTCTCTGCAACCTCATGGAGCACAGGCATGCATGTCTGTTCTTGTCCTGCTCCTATCACCCTCAATAACCTTGGAACCAGCCATCCAGTGCTAATATTGAGTAACATCTGCTGGTAACTATAACATCTTACTGGAGTGGTTTTGCCTGTATATCTGTCTATGTCTGTTTGTACGTATGCTTGTGTATGTCTGTTTGTATGACTCGTGTGTCCAAGCTTATGTATCTGCTTCATGTAACCAATAAACACAGCATTTTGCCTTATCCCCCTTTTAAGGTCTCACTCTTAATTTGAGTTACTGACAATTTTAAGTAACAATACACCCACACGCACACATATATACACAGACACGCACATATACATACATGCATGCACACATGCACACATCATGCACACACACACATACACACACAAATGCATACATATACACACACACATATACACTCACACGCACGCATACACACATATCCATGCACACACATATACACACATATACACACACATATATACACTCACACACACGCACACACACATATCCATGCACACACATACATACATACACATACATACACGCACATACATCTTCATAAACAATCTGGACACTGGTGTCAGAAGCGGACTGGCTAAGTTCACTGACGACACCAAATTTAGGGGAACAGTGTCCATATTTGAGGATAGGCTGGCAATCCAGGCTGACCTCAATAGACTTGCAAGGTGATTGGATGAAAAACTGATGGCTTTCAAAAGAGAGAAATGTAAGGTGCTCCACCTTGGAAATAAAAACCCGCATCACACTTAGAGGCTCAAAATCTCCAGTCAGAACAATAGGATATATGACCCTTTTCCCTCCCTTCTGGTCACCTGATGAGGCCTTCTGGTAACAGGGACCAGGTGCAGTAGTGGCCTTAGGGGAGGGCAAACTTCTCAGGGAGCCATACATGAAAATTTTTCCTTAAAAAAAACAAACAAAATACAAAAACATAAAAACCTAGGTTCTCTATAAGATACAGGCAGTCCTCGATTTACAATGTTTTGAGTTACAACATTTTGCCCTTATGTTTATAAATTGGCACCCTGTTTCAACTTTCTGACATCAGTTTTGACTTTACAACACTTGATCTGATGCCACACCACACTAGCGAACAAGTTCACTGCATCACCCATCTCCCTGGAGAACATCTGTCCAAACTTCCTTGGACACTCTTTAAGAAAGCAGACAAGACTTCAGAAAAACCTGCAGCCAAGACTCCTGAGAAGACTCCAGCCAAGAACCCCACAAAAAGTCCAGCAAAGTCACCTCAAAGAAGTCCTTCCAAATCAATATGATTGCTATGTACAATATAAATACATTAATGTAGCTGTACTACTCATCTATAATTGATTGAGTACAAAATTCTGGGTTATTTTTGGTGAAAATATGGTATTGGGCCTTGGTTCAGGAACCAATCCCCCACTTATAACATTTTTTCCTATGGGAAAATTGGTTCTGAGTTACAAAGTTTTGACTAAGACGTGGTTTTCAGGAACCAATTGTGTCGTGAGTCCGAGGACTGCCTGTATATGCAGAATGCTGCAATTCAACATCCAGTGGTCTGTGCTGGTGTTGCAGAGTACTATAAGCAAGAGACTACTGAGGATTTTTGCTAAGGAGCCAGAAGGAAGTCTTGGCTCTGTAGCTCAGCGTCTTGAAACAGATGGTCTAAGAAAATGCATGTAATCTTGGCTGGTCATGTCTACTCTGGATATCAATATACAATCCAATGTAAGATACAATGGTGTAAATGGGTCATATTTACCCATCTGTTTATGACTAAAAGTTTATAAAGCACTTACAAAATTGAGGTTCATCCTCTATTGAAACAATTCATACTTGATGATGATATAGATGTGAATGTTTCAACTGAAGGGTGTTTGTGCCCAAAAGCTGCAATTAAAGACTTTTTTTGCAAAAATCTATTTGGTCTAATAAAACATATCACCTCTACTATGACGCCTGATTGCTTTTTCCTTTAGACCAATATGGCTACAATCTGGATACTTGACACATGGAAGATATCAAATTTTAGCCAATTTTTAAATGAAAACTTCATAATTTTACAAGGAGGAAGCAATTTTGACAACCTGAAACCTGAGATACTGCTCCTGCCTTTGTTCAAGGTAATTTGTATCATCACAGAACCTCACAACAGAGCTCAGAATCACCTTACCAGATAAGAAATGCCTGCCCAGAAGAGTATTCCATCTATTGACTCCTCTGTGAACTCCTATGAAATTCATTTCTACCCAGGAGAACTTTTACCATATTTTCTCTGATGCCTGATGAAGGGTGTTTGTGCCCAAAAGCTTGCAATTAAATAATTTTTTTTGAAAAAACCTAGTTCGTCTAATAAAAGATATCACCTCTACCATGAGTCCTGATTGCTTTTTCCTCTAGACCAATATGGCTACAACCTGAATACCTGACACAATGTTTCAATTGAGGCATTTTTCATGTTAAATCCAACTCCTTGTTTCTCTTACCCTGAATCCCTTCTCGCTCAACTGTTACAGCACGATGACTCCCCCCAGTAAACAAATAGGAAAAAATAGTAGACAGGAACACATTTTAAAAAATAAACAAAATAAAAAGTTGCATCTTTTTTCCATACTATCTGCTAGCATCTCTTTTTTACACAGAGTATACACTAAAATGGGAAGTTATCTATTTTCCTGGTTTAGTGGGCATTGTAACAGGGTGTGGATCCCTTATAGAACTGAAAAGATGCAGCTTGCCCAGCTTGCTGATGAGCTGCAGCTGAAAGGGATCAAGTCTTTGGACAGATCCTCAGCTTGGAGCATTAGAAAGGGCTAGCAGAAGGAGAACAAGGAGGGAGAAGGAGCTTGTGGAAGCTGGAAGCCTTGAAGAGAGAAAGGTATGGGTTTGTTGTACATCCTGAAGGGACTGTTTTGTTTGTAAAGCTTAAAGGGAAAGGCTTTTTTTGTTTGTTTGTTTATTTGACTTCCCTTTGCTGAGGAAGGCTCTGAATAAAGAACCTGTTTGGGAATTTGGAAAGAAGTGAGGCTGTGGATTACACAAGACCAGCTGGCAGAGGGCACTGCCAGTCACATACATACCACTGAAACTTGCAAGAATTCAAGTATTCAGAATGATCCCACAGGTTGGGGGGGTGCTAATCTACCTGGACAACTCTTCACAAGATCATCAAAACTAAACTGTATTGTAATTGAACTTCAAACCTAACCCTCACTTTGCACTTGCATTTAAGAATGCAATTGAACATCCTAATATTAATATCTTATCATCATTTATTATAAGAAGGCAAGGTAGAGTTGCACTTTATAAACTAATTCAGGGTTGTCCAACTGGCAGCCCATATGTAAAGGGTTAGTCTTCAGGCCACAGGGCTCCCACCTAGCCACCTTCTCCCCTGATTGTTCCAGTCACAGCCACAGCCAGAGCCTCCAGGCTCCCCCTCCTTCCTCTGCATTCCAGTTCCTGCACCCACCCCAGGGTGAACCGACTAAACTAAAGCAACTCTACCGTGCCTTCTGTTTGACTTCAGACTAACGCTGCTAACTATCTCTCTTTATTCCCTTTATTTAGAACATACTCCCTAAACACCCCAATACAGGATCATAACCCTTTGTATTAGGCACCTTTAATTTAATACTATTGAATTGAATACTAATACTTTTGAATGGGTGTCTCTTCCAGAGATTTAATTTCAGAACAATACATGACCAACAAAAAAAAATTATTTTCATTAAACTAATTAATTTCCTTCAAAATAATGTCCTTAAAAATAACTTGTTTCCCCCTTCTCTTCATTCTCAAAATGGTTTCTTGAACATTTATTTCCTAAATTTGTCTTGATTAAAAAAAAAAAAAAGATGCCAAATTTCTAGGACTTAACTGGCTAACAAAATGAGGGACGCTAATTGATTTTAACTATATGAAACTATCAAAGTGTAAAATATCTTTGAATGCAGTTAAAATCCATAGTTCTGTCTATTAATCTCTTATTCAGTTTTCTTAAAGTTTCAATTATTGATTGGCCTTTTGGTTTGTTTACTCTTTTTTAAATATATGAAGCATAAAAGAGCAGAGTTTCTTCTGTATATTACATTTCAAATTATGGCTGAGAAAAATTAATGATGTAATGTCTCATTTCACAGGTGCCGAGTACATGGGGGCATGAAGGCCTTGGCCTCACTCAGAAAGAAGATAGGTTGACCACCCATTCCTAATTGGGTGGGACAGTCCCAAAATGGGAACAACAAGTCCCGGTCCCAGGCTGCATGACTCTGGGACACCATTTGTCCCACATTTCCAGTATCATGCAGGGATCTGGGTTTTCGGTTCACCACAGAAAAAAACATGGGAATGGTGGGTTTCTCCTTACAGGCTAGCAGAGTTCCAGCCTGCAAGGGGCTACAGGGAGCAGGACACAGGGGGTGCCACATGCATACACGAGCACATGCATATGCTTGTGGACAGGATACAGCCCCAGGAAGTGGTGGAGAGCAGCTCCCTCAGCTACCTGCAGGTACGTCTATGGAGGGTGGGGCAGATTAAGGCCCCACAGTGAAGGAGGGAATGGGGCAGGGGCTGGGCCTGGAGGTACTGCCCAGCCAGGGCGGTGCATGAGGTTTGTGGCCAGGAGTGGTACAGAATCACAGGCGGCTTGTCCAAGGGACCAGGGGAGAAGGGGCTCCCTGCTGCTCCATGCACTCCTGGGGAGGGGGACACTGGGGAACATGTGACCCCCGGATTTCTGTGCGGGGCAAGGTTGGATTCAGGCTGCGCACTGTGGCCTTGGGGCTCCTCACCCTGCTCATCTCCCACCCAGAAACCCCACATCAGCCATGCTACCATGGCAAGGCACTCCCTGCCCTCCCAGCAGGGATGGTGGCACAGAGTTGTTCCTTCCTCTAAAATTGAATCCTGCTATGAAATATATTAAAAAAAATAATGTATTTTATCATCTATAGCTATTATATAGTGTATCTACTCAAATCTAAGGTGACCCTGAATTTAAGATGCCCCAAATAATTAGATTCTGTACATGGAAAATCTGTAATTTTGTTATAATTTTCATGTATAGAATCTAATTATTGTAGGGTCATCTTTAAATCATGCCTCCCACCACTACAGGGGGAGGGGCAGGCAGTAGGGAACAGGCAGTGTGGGAAGGTCAAGCAGCTTGTGCCTGCCCCTCACCACCCCTGCCCCTATCTGTCAACCTGGAGTCTCCCCTTCCCCCAGCCTCTGCTCCACCTCTCCCTTCAGCCTCTGCTCCCCACTTCCCTCCTAGCCTCTGATCTTCCCTCCCCCCCAGTTTCTGCTCCATGCTGGCAAGCTCCATCCCTGTTCTAATCTGGGGCACTGAGCACAGCACCAGCCCAGTCCCCGCCACAGCTGTGTAGGCTGCCTACTGCTGCTATGGAGCTGGGCTGGAGGCAGGTTCAGTGCCCCAGGATGCAGCGTGCACAGAGGTTGCTGATGTGGAGCAAAGGTAAGAGGGGGTTGGAGAGGAGCAGGCAGGGGCACAGAGGCAGCATGAGGGAGTGGAGGGGAGATGGGGAGAGGAGGCTGGAGAAGGGACATGGTGGTGCAAAGGTGGCAGGGGGTGGGGGACAGGCAGCAGCTGCAGCTATGGCTATGACCACAGATAGGGGCCTGAAGCCTGAGCCACAAGAGTCACCTTCCCCTCCGCCCTGTCAACTGAACCTCCTACCTGACTGTAAGACAAGGGGCTTTCCCCCCTCCATACAACAGCTGAGAAACAGCTCCTGTATTACAACTAAGAGGAAACGTGTGGCAGCTGAATAGCAAAGAGGCCTTTGAAAATGCCAGGAGGAGGTTAAATAGATAAAAAGAAAGAAGGGAAGCACAAGAGCTAATCACCCTGTCCACTTCACCAGGCAGACCAATATGAGAAGGAGAACTAAAGGACAAGAAGCCAAGTTTCTGTATCACGAGCCAAACACGCTACACACTCTCCTTCCTTCTACATGGTATGTCTCATTGCTGCTAGTCTAACCAACCACCCAGCCCCTGAGATGAGGAAGATGCATGTCAGCATTTTAAATATGTTGGTTGTTACTCTACTAAAAAGTCATTTATAAAAAAAATATGAAACTGGGTCCAATATATCTTAAAGAATACATTTTCCAAACTGAATTATAACACAATCCAGTTAAGAGACTTGCTTAAAATTCTCAGAAAATTCATTCAGGACCCAAATTAAATGGTCGTTCTTTCACAGATACTGCATCATTTTTCATACATTATAAAGCTATTGACTGATTCAAATAAAAAAAAACCATGCTGAACTTCAGCCACAAGTTGCCTTTCATTAATAATATGAAAACTAATACTAGCAATGTAAAACAGTTTTGTTATTAAGAATGGTAACCAGTTACCAGAGATCTGATTTCACTTCTTGTACCTAGAAGAAACTTTAGGGAAGAGGTGCCAAACTAATCTGGCCCCATGGCATGAGAATGGTCCACAGGCCACAAGAACAGCATGGGGCTTCCACGAACTCTCCCTCCCTTGTATGACGGATCCAGCACCCACAGTGCTCACTCCAGGTAGTTCAGGATTACGCTGGATCCAGCACGCGTGAGGTCCATGGATCCTCTCCTTGATGTCAGGCTTTTGGTGCCCAGGAACATGAAAAAGCAGGCAGGGGTTCAGCCATAGCTCCCAGCTCCCCACCTACCTTTAAAAGGTCTGAGGACTGTGATCCCAACTTGAGAAAAGACTCCTTTCACCATGGATCTTTAAAAAGTGGGCACATAGTTGGAGCCCCAGCTGCAAGGCAAGTTTTTACATTCCCAGGCATGGAAATGGGGAGCTCCCACTTCCATGTGCATGGAGGTACAGCTGGAAACCAGGGAACTTCCCACTCCCCAGTGCAGGTGCCCTCCCTTTTTGTTCCCTCCCCACTGCTGCAAGCTGGCAGTCACATGATAGGCATTTGAAGAATTTTATGCCCCATTCCCCAAACTGCATAACCCACCATAGACATAGTTGTACAGTATAGGGAACAGGGTACAACAGTCCTCAAGCCCCAACTGCACAACTGTTAAAAACTGCCAGCAGACTTATTTTTCATACTCCTTTTTTTTTCACCAATATGATGATTATAAATTTTCAAATAATAGCAAACTATCACTAAAAAGGAAAAAGGGGAAGAAACTTACATCATTTGTGTTAACGTGCCAAGCCATATCACCATAGGATACCAGCTGACCATTAACATAACACCGAATTTCACTGTTCCTCCAGCGATTGTAGATGTGCACAATGCTGATCATGTACCACTAAAAAGAATTAGGAAACAAATGAATTATTATTTAAAGCAAAATATCAATACATCACTTATTACTTCAAATCCTGTAAAGGGGTATATAGTGAAGGAATCTTTGAAGCCTCCAAAACATATTAAAACTGTAAAGCTCTCCATGGGCTTAAGCATCTGCCTATCAATATCCCTTTGCAGAACTGGGGAAAAGTACAAAAGACAAAACATGGAGGTAGTTCAGAGCCAATGCTAAAATTCAGGTTTAATTTTAGCTGTCATAGCAATGTATTATTTAAAAGACCAGTAAGTCAGAAGACCATTTAATAAAAAAGCACAGTACATTAAATGCATTTGGTATGCCAGTTTACAAGGAAGTCCAGACTGCTCTGTTCGAGTATCCTGCCATCACTGTTTATCACTTTGTAAATCTTTGTCTCCCACAAAATTTATTAACGGTGATGTTATGTTTATTTTCAAGATCATTGATAACATTTTTAATACAGTTAAGCCTGAAACTGATCCTTGTGTAAATTCACTAGAAATACCTCCACCTTTAGATAGTGTTTCCTTACTGGCAACTATTTATGTTGCCTCTCATTTAGCCCAAGAAAGTGCAATTGTGAAAATCTGAAGTGGGTTACACAGCAACTAAAACAAGCAAGCCAAAGATAAACAAGCTACAGGAGGCAAACATTTAAATATCTAATCTTCAAAAAAATAAAAAAACACACATCCAAAACAGAATTTAAAACGTCATATTTTAGAACCCAACTATTATTCAGCTATGCTTTTTTTTCTTTGGTGAGGTTGGATTTTCTTGGGGGGAGGGGGAGGGAAGTCAACTTTAAGTGTAATAAGCCTTTTAATCTAGATTTAAAAATTCTGAAGTCAATTGGCAAGCATTCATTAGAAGTAAGACTATACAGTTCTGTGATATCCTCAAAGATCAACCCATAATACCAAAGATATTTGTAAAATTAATGCTATTAAAAATGTTAGCTTTACTTTTCCTTTGTCTGGGATGACTGCAATTAGCACAAACCTTACTGTGAAGGGAGTGGTCTTCTATTTTTCAGCATTTAGTTTCAAGAACAAATCCTTCATTGCTGTATTAAGTGCCCCATCCTATCATTTAGAATCATGTGCTATGCACCTACCAAGTACACTGACAGAGCTTTCTGATCTCAGCTACCAAGATTTTTTTATCTTCTCTCTGGTAGTACTCTTTCAGAGATTGTCACTGGATGGTTACACCTAGTGTGGCTTTAGAGGCATTTTTTGCACCCCCTTTGAGCATCTTCTTCATTATCTTATGTGAATAATACTCAGATATGCTAGAGGAATAGTTTAGAACTGTATTCCTGAGATCCTTTTGAAAATAGGTTACGTGTTCCATGATGCTTAGCTTAATTAACAAAGGCTTCAAAATCAATAAAAATTTGTCAAGGCCAAAATAATTTGATCTAATTTGATAGTGAAGATAATCTGAGTTATCAGGAAATTATCTATACTCAAGCTACAGAGTGTGATTCAATTAACAGCACAGAGTAACTGGGTCCAAACCGAACTAGCATGAATTGCAGAACTTCAGCTTCAACCCATACCTTCTGAAAAGACAGGCAGCTCAAGTTTAAAACACCACCCAAGTCAAGCTACTGAGGTGTGTACACAAAACAGGGTGTTGGACAAGGCAACCGTCAATCAGGGAGAGGTCAGCAATGATCTTGGCTAGGGGCAATGCATGACAAACACCAATATACTATCACGACCAAAATGGTATGATTACTTAAAATGTTACACTTAGTTCCTCTTCTTAATGATATTCCCACCAAAGGATCTCTCTTCTGAAGATGCCCATTTTTTTTCACTTCTGGCCAGCTGAAAGCCCATTGCCTTTCCAGAGTGAAAGTTTTCCATTCCTGAACAACTATTTTATACTACTAGCCCTATTATGAAGAAACATGTTCTGATTTTTATTCAGCTCTAGCATTAAACGGTCTCCCAGAAGTAATAAAGTTGAAATAAAGCATTAATATAAAACCAGTACATTCTATTATTGAGCATATTTAAGATCTAATGTTATACATACAATATGGATGGTTTCAGTTAACCTAATTCACAGTTAATTAACAGTTAACATCCTTAGATTACATGCCAACTTTTGATTCACTTAAATGTGCACTGAATGATTTTCTTCTAGATGAGTCAATATCTCGACTTGGAAGATAACCTTTAAATATCATATTAAGCAATTCTGATGTCTCTGCCTAATAGCATTTTGAAGCCTCTGCTCCATATTTAACCTAAGAACATCTAAATGAGGTTTTTTTCTTTAGATGTAAACAGGACAGTAACAGAAGCAGTATTATTTATTTAATCCATTTATAGGATGTTTATGAAGTTTCCAAGTGCCATAAAGCTAAGATAAAACAGAAATCAACTCAGACTTTATGTGGTAAATTGAGTAAATTATTTTTTGCATACACCAAGATTTAATTTAAAAATAACACAGATTAAAGAAAAAACATACCAATGCAGGGGAAGGGCACCAAACTTATTCTGTTGCTGGGCTTATCTTCTCCATCTCTAACCAACCTCAGTAGGTGCTCTTATTAATCTTCTCAGTGTCAAAGACAACAGAGAAAATAAGCAACTTCACAGTTTTTTAAAGCATAACATTTCCTCCTATCTTTAGCTCTATTATTCCAGTTAAAATACCTTCCAATTTAAGAGTGATACTGTAGTTAGGATGGTCCAAGAAATATAAGAGGGGAAAGGATTTTTGTTGGTAATATCTTGCATTGAAACAACTGCGTAGCTTAGAGAGATTTAGACAAGCTCTTGGGCAAAAGATACCTTTTTCTCAGGTCTGGGAAAGAAGCAAACACAGGTTGAGCTAAGTAACAGATAAGATAATGGCTTACGTAAAATTCCATATGTAAATTAATAAAAATAAATAAAAAATCCTCTGCTTTGAGGAATGGAGCAGGGCTGTAAAACAAGAAAAGAGAGACATTATCAGAATACTTCTACAACCACAACAGAACCTCCTCTGATCACATTCGCACCCCAACAGATAAGATAAACAACAAAGTAACATCTAACTGGGCACATCCCAGGGGATGGAACCACACACTGGACTTCTACATTGACTGCTTTAGGAAGAAAGCTAACTGTGAAAGTCTTACCAAAAGCCAGGACCACCACAACATCTCTGTTTCACAGAGAAAAACCTTCTAAGGTCCAACAATGAAAAGTAATCAAACCTGCATACAGAGGAAGGGCTACAGTCATCCTCAACTATCAAGACTACATTAATAAAGACTAAGAGACCATTCTTTGACACTAACTACTATAAAGAACTTGGGGTGGACCCCATACCAGCTTCCATACCGGTTTCAGGAAAAACTGCTCACACTTAATTCCCCACTCTTCCACTACCGGAACGTATGAAAGATTCACAAACAAGGTAACCCTGACAGACCCATAATAGCCAACTGTGGTATCCTCCTGCAGATCTATCAGGATTCATAGAAAACGCCCTAAAATCACGTGCCACTCCAAAAACAAGTTTTCTACAAGACAGAACACACTTCAAAAATCTGGAATAATCAAGGCCCCTGGCCTTCCTCCCTTCATGACCCTGAAGGCTATACTTGCAACCATGAATGTCACCAGCCTTTATGCTAATATCCCATACTATGATGGCAAAGCAGCCTATCTGAAATGGATACAAGAAAATGGACTACACTCAGATTTGCAGCCACAATATATTGCGCAAATCATCCATTTCATGCTCATTTATAACAGATTCATTTTCAACAACAAGTACTTCTCCAAACCCTGGGCACAGCTATGGGCAAAAGATACCCTGGACTATACCAACCTTCAAAACCTGAAATGAACCTGCATGATAGCTGCATTAGATAATATTTTCATCATCTAATCTGAACATTTACTCAGTTATTGACCTCCACTACAGGTTTAAGTGCACATTCTCTCTAGAACAGAGGTTCTCAATCCCCAGGCCATGGCCCGGTGTGAGGCCATGGCGGGTTGGCTGCTAGTCCGCAGCACGGTCGGCTGTCGGACTGGAAGTGGCAATGAACCAGCAAACCGCGGCCCCCCAGAACTGGGCGGAGAGGTTGTGGCTCCTTCCGCAGGGCCCACGTCAGCACAGGGTTTGCCCCCGCTTCCAGGGGGCAGGGGTATCTGTACCTGTCTGCCGGCCAGAAATTCCAGCTGCAGTTTCCCAGGCTGCAGCCACTTCCGAGCTGCGGCTTGCCGGCCTGCGGTATAAAGTCTTTGGGAACCCCTGCTCTAGAATACTCCCGCACTACCATCAACTTACTAAAAGTCGCAATCCACATCCTGGATGGCACCCTACAAACCACTGTATTCAAGAACCCATGGAACGCCATACTTAAAATCCACAAAACAAAACATCCAAAACACATCAAAAAGTTGTAAGCTACAGTCAAGCCCCTCAGGTACCACCACATCTGCTCTGAGAACTTCATATTACCTTTCTCATCAACCTAAAAACTTCATTTACCCAATTTAAACACTCTGGACCCCTCCCCCCATCACACACACACTCCTGGCTTCCCAACAGCCCTGGAACCTCACTCAATTAATCATCAGAAATAAATTCACTGCTGATCCATGGGATATAACCCTACCTTAACAATAAATTCAAAATCTGTCAACTCATCTTTTTGCCATCACAATGGACCTTAGACATGCCTATCCCAGAATGGGGTATACCTCATCCAATGCATCAAAGCTCTCAGGAAAATTATGTTAGTGAAACCAGACAAAAACCAAGCTCCAGAATGTACAAGCACAAGAAAAGTATAAAAAATAGAGAGACACAAACATGGAGGAGTACCACTCCCTTTCTGACCTCACAATCCTTGTGCTCAAGGGTAATCTACAGAGCGCCTTCAGAAGGTAGGCCTAGGAACTAAAAATTATCATTTTACTGGATACTAATTATAAACAATCTGCAATCCTGCT